TTTCTAGAGCTTCAAACATAGCCGTATATGTCAATTTCTGTACATGTCCAAAATATGGCCTACTTTTGGGACAAGTTCACACCAACGACACAAGACCCCACCTCCACCAAGCATTTATTTGATACACAATACGTATATGTACTTCCCTGCAAAGATTGAAGTCAAATGACACCCTACTTTGCTATTTCTAGAGTTTCAAACATAGCCATATATGTCAATTTCTGTACATGTCCAAAATATGACCTACTTTTAGGGACAAGTGCACACCAACGACACAAGACCCCAACTTCCCCAAGTATTCATTTGATACACAATGCATATATGTACTTCCCTGCAAAGATTGAATTCAAATGACATTCTACTTTGTTATTTCTAGAGTTTGAAACATAGCCGTATATGTCAATTTCTGTAAATGTCCAAAACTTGGCCTACTTTGAGGGACAAGTGCACACCAACGACACAAGTATTCATTTAATAGACAAGACATAGTGTTACTTTAGGTCAAAAGACTTTATTCAGATTGCTTTCTTTCTTTTGTAGATATTGTATCCTGAACATGGCTAAAAATCATATTTTCCCTCAAATTGAAAATTTGACCTACTTCTAAGGACAACCACGCGACAACCAAAGAAGTGCCCAAAGTTTGCAACAATGCATTTTATAGCACATATGTTTATGTATCTATGATTAAAATTTGAAGCAAAAAAATCACCATCTTTGGACTTACAGCACTTTGAAGTTGGGAAGAAATAACGCTTTTTCATAAGCCTCAAACACTGTATTGTGTTAGGGTTGCCCAGGTCCTTTAAACGAACTTCTTGAAAATTTCAAAGCTATTCTAGAATAGTGGATTAGTTGGTCTTTCATGCCCATACTTTGTTTTTCTATAATATCAAAGCACTTGCTCGTAATCGTGCCTTAAACTATGCCAAATTTCATGTTTTTCACATGTCTAAATCAGGGAAAATGGCCCCGAAACTTGTTTGGCCCGTTACCATGGCAACGATCGGTGCTGACCGGAAAGAAAGCTATTTTGAGGGGTTGTGGGCCAAGTACTATCACTGTGCAAAGTTTGAGCCAAATCGATTTTTTGACCCCTGCCACCATTGTTTGATCCTTACAGACATTCGCTCTTAAGATTTAATGTACTAGTAACTATCTGTTACATCGCTCAGATATCACAGATTCTTAAGATTTGTGCCACTGATTGATTGTATCTACTAATATTAGCAGGGCATTTTGGTGAGGCTAGTAATTAAGATACTGATTGATAAACTTTGATCCATAAACAATTTCCAAAAATGTACGTGTATATCTAAAAAAAACAGAAATGGAATGGAATGACTAACACTGTTGACGGATAATAAAACTTGTAACTGGGTTCAATTTATGCTTCTTAGTTATTATTTGGAGACTGTTGTAAGTTGAGCCTGAGAGCGATTTGAGTGGTTTTTTTTTTTACAAAATAGTCTAAAAATACTTTTTTTATTTAGTCTATCTTAGCATAAAAATAGCATAAATTATATTTTATAGTAGAAGATAAAATTACATAATATGTTATTGACATTAGAAACCGTTTGGAATTTGATATCAAACCTTAAAACCGATTGTTTAAAACTTAAAACGCTGAAAGTTGCAAAAATGCTCAGCAGAAACCCGTTACACTGGCAACATGAATATTATTACTTCAACCAGCTAATATTAGATTATTGCAAGATATATTTTAGGAAAAGTTTGGTGGTTCTAGCACAAGCAAATAAGTCACGTGTGTTACGTACCTATGTTACTAGAAAACACGTTTTTCTGACATTTGAGTCAGTTGAAACCCTTGATAATTCACAGTATTCCTCACAAGATATCAGCTCGGAGGCCATAGTTAAAATGTTTAGTTTAATCTACGTAGTATAATAACAAATGAATTACCCAATTGCAAGCATTTTCAGCTCTGTTTTACAGAAAACCGAGAGTTTTCATGATTTTCATTGAAGGTTGGGTGACGTTGCATCAGAATTTTGCCCTTTGCATGCGATAGGTTTTCCGACACAATATTGTCAAAACTATAGACGGGATGACATCCTTAATACGTGAATAAGACGTTCTGCTGTGCGCTATATGTGGGTATCATCCAGGCACAGTACATATACGTCTCCCATATAGGCCCCCAGACCGGTTACCATGGTTTCGTCTTTGATAAGAAAACTCTGATAATCAGTGTCTGTTAAAACTGTATTTATTCAATGAAGTGAGGGGGTTAGTAGGTGTACGGTGGTCAGAATGATCGACTTAGGTCATTGAGTATAAATTATAACAAAGAAACAAACATGACCATATATCTCATCCAGCTAGTGTCAATTACTTCATCAAAAATGTCCAAAAATCTTACATAGAAATCTTCATAATTTGAATGTATCAATAAATATTTCAAAACGGCCTAGTTATTATTCATCGTATATATTATACGTATTTGTACATACAAGGCCATGTTATAGATACAATATTGTCTATGATACATACAACTATGTATGATAAACAAGATATGTAGACAATGGATATTGATGCATCATTATATTATGATAAATAGTATTGCATCAAAGTACAATAATCGTAATAATAAATAGTATTTCATCAAAGTACTATAATCGTGATATGTAAACAATCTTCTAGTGACAACGCTTAACGATAAGCTTTCTATTCAGTTTCGGCCTCTGAGTTTAACATTTGCAGGTGCGTATAGACTATTCTTGTAGAGTTTATCAAAGACTGATACCATGTTAACATCCGGAGTGTCGAGCGATCTAACTCATAAGTAGACCAGGTAGATAGTCTCTGCTGTTGGATTGGAGAAGCAGTGGTAGCTTCCAGCGTTGTCCCATTGTGTGCCTGTAAGAAAATATACTGTTATACACAGGAACACTATGTACATACATAACTTTTATACGAAGAACTTTATTGCAAGACAATTGTGCATGGTACAAAGTATGACATCAACTATTGAACATAGTACAAAAAGGTATAGAATAAACATCAGAATTACTAAGACAACAAGGGTTTGTATAATTGTATGATATACAGTCGGGTGGGGCAAATCATGGGTTTCAGTATTTTTTCTAATAACAAAAGCATCCTTTATATATTGCATTTTTTTGCATTCAAATCGTAGTATTCCATATCACTCAACGCCGAAATTCGTATTTTGATTATATAATTTAATACGATGCAAGATCTTTTAGTATGATTAAAAATGTTGATTGCATGTAATTTTTGATTGGGTTAATAACTGTTCAACCTACCAACGATTGTACGTTAATTTTCAGACTGTCGGTGAGCGTCTGGATGAATTCTACCTGCGGCACACTGAAGTTGGTAAGCTGCTCGAGGGCCGCAAGGTTCAAGGAGACGTTTTGCAGGCGCTCGTACACTTTTGTCAAGAAGTCCTGGAAAGTCTGCGGGAACAAACGAGGCAATTTTGAACTATATCTTTTTACTCGTACTACTGAGAGGATCTTCGTCAACACGTTACAATGACAACTTCAATATCTTACTACTGGCAAACACATACATCGAAGGCACTTAAGTCTTTTTTCAATAAAAAACAGCATTAAAACCCTTATCTGTGACATCCAGCTAAAAAAACATTTCCCAAGAAAAAGGCGTCTCAAATTTGAACCAAATTTAACTGAAATTCGTTTCAATTCGTATAGAAAAGTGGGCGTGGCCTAAATATGTTCAGCCTGCTCCCGAACGTTAGCTGGTCGGCTGGTGGTCTGGAACAGATTCGGGGAGACGTCGTGAATGTGTGACAGGCCGATAAACTTACCCACGAGCAGAGGCTGGCAACATCCTCGGTCTCCGTCACGACTTCGTAGTTAGGGTCTTGAAAACGCTCGGTTCGCTGGAAAGAAAAGTAAAGGCGCAATGTCAGAAGAAAAATCGCTAACGCTCCCTTGGTGGTCTTAGCTCAGAGTTTGGATTCTAAGGTTAAATTCTTCGATGTTGTAAGTGATTCAGAATTTCTACGATTTGTTTCTCACAAAGTTGTCCTGAGAAGATTACCAGTTTCAGTGTTGTATCTTGAGATAGTTAAGCGTGCTGCATAATGACGGTTTCTGTCCTATGCGAGGCGTGTTGCCGTTTTTTGCACGTTTGTATCAATAAATCTTGGTATTTCCGCCAAAGACCGCTGCTTGTTGGTTGATGATGTGTTAGTTCTCTATCAATCGATCGGTTATTTGCAATGGTCCTAGGAAGTAAGCATAAAATCACTTTCGTAAACGAAATAGGTATAAAACTAAAGCTCGAGTCCGAATTGAACACGTACACACAGCAAAACAGAACAGATAGCAGATCTTGTGCCCTTGGGAAAGGCATTTTACACGACTTTTCTCACTTCGCTCTGGTGAAAATTAGTATTGTATTGTCCCGTGTGTTGGTGGTGGCATTAATATAAGTTGAAAAAAACTTGAGTGTGCCGTCACCACGTCTTGTGATTAAATGTTGGAAATAATAAATGCCTGTACCCACCATGGTTTGTAGGCTGCTATTGACCACCCACAGTAAGTGGTTGAGTAGCGGGACGCCTATCTGCACATGGTCCTCAAAATCGGACGTCCGGTTCACGGTCCGAGTACAGGTCATGTGTGCAGCAACATCAGGGGTGGTCGGCTGCAATAATCAAGGTTGGAATTTATCATGACTTGATGGATGGAGATATTCATTGTACATTTCATTTTGCCCAACTGGGCTAAGCACAGGTCACATGATAACGATAATATACACATCATATAATGCTGAGGTCACATTTCCAAACCGGGGTCTGACCGGGCAGTTTTCGGGAACGAAAAGTACTATATGAAATATATAAAAGACCACAAGACACAAAAAATGATAATCATGATTACTATTAGTGGATATTCCTGAACATTATTGTTGATTTTCTTTCGTTCATGCAAACAGCACGACCGGGCACCGGTTTGGAAATGCGACTTCCAAAAGCTAAAATGGTACGGCCATGTACGTGTGTGAACAGAAGCAAAGGCCGGCCTGTCCAAAGTGATCCTGCAAAGAATAGTTGAAGGGAGAAGAAGAAGAAGAGGCCGGCTAGGCAGACAGAGGGAAAGATGGGACGACAACGTCGGGGAGTGGGCATTTTTCATGAATGAATAAAAGTGATTTTATTACGGGACAGACACAACAAAACCCCAGAAAAAGACGGGAATCAAATTGTTTTTTGGCGGTGTGAGCCTTATGCTTGACCTATAATAGGGGACCGTCCATTCTTCAACAAGGCAGGGTGTGACACATATTCTTCCGTGCAGACGAGGTAGCTTTCTTTCAGCGCAGACGAGGAAGTTTTTTCTGTGTAGACGAGGAAGGTATTCGCGCAGACGAGGAAGGTATTCACGCAGACGAGGAAGTTTTATTTGTGCAGACGTGGAAGGTATTCGTGCAAACGTGGAAGGTATTCGCGCAGACACGAAGGGCTGTACTTACGGGCCACCGTAGTAGATAGTCTGGTAGAGACTAACGCCATACATTGAAATTCGTATGTCTTATGATCACAAAATCGATTATAGAATTATAACTATCCGTTTGTACATACTTTTCCATTAGAACTTAGACGCTAAACCGAAAGGTTTGCCGCACAGGAGTTCCAAAATTTAATCATTTCATCCATCGGTCAAGATCCTATTTTAGCTGCTGAGTCTCTTTCGTCCTATCTGACGATGAAAGAAGCTCGGCAGCTAAAATCAATTTCCTAACCAGGCTACAAGACTAACTACCTAACAAATTTAATGACAATCCATCCATAGCTTGATAAATTATGGCATACATACCCAACCAAGGAAATTAACGTTCTAGACGAAGGTTGATAAAAAGGAAAGAAAAAGAACAGAACTAGAGAGCTAGAAGTTACTTACAGGCGCAGCTCTTTCGGTGGGCAAGGGGAGTGGTGTCACCGGTAGCGGCAAGTGGCAGCCGAGGAGAAGGGTCACTGCTAGTAGCAAAGTCTCCATCGCGGTGTCTCTCTGTACTTGCGCGGGTATATCAGGGTGTAAGAGCGCTGTGCTGGAAGACTGGTGGCCGTACGAGGGAAAACGCCCCCTTTTATACCATCTCAGAAGTGCGAGAAAAGTTTTATTTCGCTTAAATTCTCCGTATATCTCACTGGATGTGCGTCATCTCACAGGATGTGCCTGTGATCGTGAGATGACGCAACGATTTCAAATACCACGAGCTCTTATTTCTGTCAAGTTTGCCATTTTGGTCGGTAAACTAACCAGGGTGGTAACCAGGATATCTTAATGAATCATCAGTTCTAAAAGTGTTTAGTAGAAAACGTATGAATTCCAGTGTAGGAGGGCGGAAGGGAATGCCCCATATTACGTGGTCTGTCCAAAGCCTGGGCTACATTTCCTGATCCAGGAAGACGGTACGTCGCGACATGTGTCATTTCCTAGTTCTTATAACATTAGATGAGGCGTGGCCCTTCTTCATTTGTGTTGAAGTGTTTTCTGCTTTGTGTGTTACTTGAAAGTATGACTGTTTCTAACGCCGACCACACTCGTTATTTCCTAGTTCTTGTTACATCTGTCTCAAGTCCACGAGAGGTGATACACACCCTTCTTAACTTGTGTTGAAATTTTATCTGCTTTCTTTTCAAAACGGACAAAAATTGATGTGCTTAGACCACCTTGTTCTTAGGTCAAGAAATGGTCATGCTTTGAAGTCTCTGTCTGCTACCCTGGCTATCTTCACCCAAAGCCTGTACAAAGTCCACTAGAGGTGATACACCATTATTCACTTGTGTTTGACTTTCATTTCACTTGAAAGTATGACTAGTTCTGACACCTACCACACTCGTTATCCTAGTTTCTTGTAACATTAGATGCATGAGTCGTGGCTCTATGGCGATCATACTGGCCATCTTCCCCCAAGTATGTCCATAAGAGTTTTTCAGTCCAATTGTGATAACAGTCTTCTTCATTTGTGTTTAAATTCTTTTCAACTTTCTGTGGTACTTGAAAGCATGGCTATTTCTTGTTCTTGGGCAACGCTTACCTATGAACAATGTGGTCTTAGCGCATCAATTTTCGTCCGTTTTGAAAAGAAAAGTTTGCGCCCATATTGTTTGGGTACTTGAAGGATGGCATAGAAGAGGAATGGAAGTAGGGCTCGAATGACCATTTGCTTGCACAATCAAGTCCCCTCCAACGTCAAAGAAGATGTGAAATAACGAAAATGCATGTATATTTGGAAGACTATACTCTGTGTGTTCAGTCATTTGTTAAACCGTCTTAAAAACACTTACAGGGGTTCTCACCAGAATCTCTTCACAGCATAGGGGTTAGGTACAGAAGGACAACTTTTGTTTCCCTGGCATTAGTCCCAAAGACGACATGGCCACGGCAGGGTGTCTGGTAACTTATGGCCCTCTGAGACGGTATATTTCCTATTTTCGAGAGACAAACGTTGCAAAGTTAAGCTTTACCTCTGTTATAGCTTCCTTTAATTTTACTGTCAAACTTTTAAAAAGATTTCTGAATGGTCCCAGGCTGCAGGGTTATCCCCCAAAAGAAATACCCCTGCTCTATTCCAAAGACAGTGATGGGGGGGGGGCTAAATCACAGCATAGGGAGTGTAGGGGGGTAAGCTATGCTCAAACAGTCTGGTAAGAACACTGACTTAGACTTTTTCCCGCGCTCGAGTTTCATCCATATAATCAAATCTTAACGGGTTTAAGGACAGTTTCAGGAAATATGGAGGAAATACCACTTGTACGAAAACAGGTTCAGGAAATACATGTTGTACTTTGGACACACCATAGCTGTGTCAAAAGTCAAAAGTACAAGTTCAATAGTAATTGCAATTTCTGGAACTGGTCCATGTACGGAAAACGTCTCACGATGCGTCACACATACGTCACTTGCCAAAAACTTTTTGGCAAGTGACGTATGTGTGACTCTGCACAGGTCAGCCAACATTCCGGAACTGTGAGCGAAGTTCAAAGGTAGCGTGGAAACAGATGTTCTGTTTTAGACTGTCGTCAAGTGATTTAAGTGAAGTAAATGGCTCCCGAGCACCGAAAGCAAGGTTATGCTGAGGTCACATTTCCAAACCGGAGCCCGGCCAGGCAGGTTTTGGGAACGAAAATTACGATATAAAAGTCAACAAAACACAGAAACGTTTTTGATGATAATCATGGGGACTATATCTATATACTCTTGATATGGATTGTTAATTTTTCCTTCATACAAACAGCCCGGCCGGGCCCCGTTTTGCAATTGTGACCTAAGCATTAGCTGGTGTTCGGCCAGCTCAGCTAAATGTTAAAAAATATTCGGCAGTGGTCGGGGAGTGATTGGGAGTCAAAATTGATTCAAATTCAACTCGTATTCGATTCAGTTCGTATAGAAAGGTGGGTGTAGCGTTAACTTGGTCCAACTGCTCCCGAAATTTAGCCAAACCTGGTTAGTGAGAGGGTTCTAAATGTGTGACAGGGGCTTAAGACAGAAGTTTATATCCTACACTTGGTTTACACCCGACAAGCTCGTCCATACGCGTCATATTCAGATACACCCCTAGGGTATATACTAGTATACTCGGCCGGCGATTGTGCTGCAACAGTATGGCCACTGTTTTTTTTATCAATTAAAACAGAAATAAAGAAATACAAGATGACGGCGCATTCAACGTTCATTGAACTTATATAAGCGCCCCCAGCTAGCATAAAACAAATTAAACAAAGACATATGATACATTAATTACAATATATAATTATACATATAATGTATCATTGAACCAATCTTCATACATGTAATTGTATTGTATGATTTTATATTGATATTGTATTGTACTATTGTAGTGTCTGGAAGGGCAGCTTGCAAAGGTGTTTGAACACTGGAGCCGAGGAGCTGGCCTGTGTAGGCCCTGGAGCCGAGGAACCGGCCTGTGTAGGCCCTGGAGCCGAGGAACCGGCCTGTGTAGGCGTCTGGGGCCAAGAAGCAGGTCTGTGTACTAGGCTCTGCTGGCATCCATGCAGACCAAGCACAGGAGGTAGGTGTGTGTTTCCGGAAGTCCTAAACGATTTTAGTTATTTTTCTGTACAAGTCAGCGCCGGGTACACATTTCAAGGTTTTTTTTCCATCCGGCTAGACGAACCCTCCTTGTCATTTCCTATCTTTCCTGGAAAAGTGTACCGGAGAAAAACAGAAAGGGATCCCCCACCGATGAATACGTGATAGTGATGTTTTCTTCCCACCTCCAATGTTTCTCACTGTCTGCATTCTGAGAAACGTATATACGTAGATAGATAAGTGCACGAAGTGTTGCAATATCAATGTCGTTGAACATACGTAATTCCCAAAACTCAACACAAGTAACCCCAAAACTCAACTCAAGTAACCCCCAAAACTCAACTCAAGTAACCCCCAAAACTCAACTCAAGTAACACCCAGACTCAATTTTCAGTCCATTCTACGTATTGCACGCCTTGCCTCTGTCACACATTCAGAACACACACACCCGAACACCAGCCGACCAGTCTGACCAGATTTAGACCACGCCTACGTTTGTATACTAATCGAATCGAACTTGAGTTAAATTTGAGTCAAATTTGACTGCCGAACGCGCCGCGACCTACTCCCGCGATCACCAGCCAACCAAATCTCCCGACCACACCCGAATGTTTTAATCATTTTGAAACATTCGCCTGGTGCAGCCGAGTAGTAGCCGATATTGCTGGACACCAGCCAACCACCTTGCTCCCGATCCACCCACTCCCAACCATAGTTAGGGGAAATTCAGTATTGTTCTTATCCGGTTGTGTGTGACAGGGGCTTTATCATTCTGTATTACACTTTTTTATTCGGGGTATTGTTGTCTGCATATATGTTTTTTTTTTTTCAGTGAGGAGTAGCAAGTTCTAATTCGTAGCCGGCCCTCTGTTTATTCAACGTTAAGCGTGGAAAGTGGGACTAAGTATATACAACTATTATGGCCGCACGATCTGAGTAGGTCGGCAAATGCACCTCCTTCAAACCGTCTTCAAATCAATACACCAACAAGTACCGGAATACCTACAAATGTTCTGTAGAACATCTCGTATAGGGGAGCATTTGCCTGGAACGGCCTACCTGCCACAGTTAGAGTAGCCACGTGTTACCTGTCGTTTAAGAAGGTTCTGAAACAACACTGCTGACCTCTGACCTCATGACCTTGGCCTGGCTTAACGACATTGATTTACCGTAAATGATTTTGTTTTGACGCTTGGTTGCCTTTTTAAGTTTATGTATTCTTTAATGTGTCGGTTTCATTGTTTTCCTGTGTAATGTTTTTGTCACAGGGGATTCCTGAAAATCAGTGTTTTTAAATAGCACTTAGGTCTCTACCCTGTTTAAATAAAACAGAAACGATAATTAATAATAATAATAATAGTATCCATCGGACTACCAGGATGGATTCAAACATAGTTAAATTTAGCCAAATAAGGAGAACAATTGGCCAGGGGAGTTTGGCTACCGTAGGGATCATTTCCCCAAACAATTAGGGGGGAAACCAAGCCACCCACGGACTGACTCTCATTGTGGTTAGCCATGAACCTAACCCTAGTCCCTAGTGGGAGGCCCACATGATCTGTGGGTTAGGCCGGAACAACAAATTCCAGTGGCAACACCCAAATACTTATTTTTCTACGTCATACAGACACGAAAATTTGGCATCAACCGCTTGAACTCTGTCAGATTGAGATTGGCCCCAGGGCGTGTGAATTGTTGGTGCGCAATTCGAATCACAGGGTGGGAGGGGACAAGGAAACATGCAAACTTACTGTACTTAAAGCCTCGGTCACAACTCGCCGTGCGTGCTTTTTGTCCGTACGTTTTTGTCGTGGCTACGTCTGCTACGTTTTTTCTGCAAACGTAGGGTGGCCGGCCGAGGGAGTACGTCACTCGCGCGATCGCAAGGTGTACGTACGTGGTCTGCACGACACGCCTGACCGTCAGCGGTTGCGTGCATCGTACGTTGCGCAAGTGGTAAGTGAGTTGTACGTGCTTACAACGTACGATCTCTGTGCGATTGCCACGTTGCCGCGTACAGGCCGTACCTACACGTGCGGCGTGCGCACGATTTCCTTACTCACTCGCACGTTGTAAGTGCGTGCACCTCCTGTTAACTTCATCATCACTAGCCGCCCTGGTGTCTTCCGCGGCCCGTTTCTTTGGATCTTGTCTGGTAGACTTCTTTTGAGCCTTCCTGGGCATCTTGGAGACGAGTTGGCAGTCGCCCATCAAGTCGTCTTTATATACTGTAGAAATAAGGTGCGTTGCGCGTGCGTTGCACGTGCGGAGCACCTAGTATGGTGCACGTGTGTTCTGCGTGGTCATTGAGCAGGTCAACTGGGAAGTGAGGAGTAAGCACGGATGACGCAAGCACCGTGCGTGGCACTGACGTGCTTCGTGCGCTGTCCGTACAGCAATTGCACGTGAGAATAGTGAAGTTAGACTCACGGAGTCCGTACGTTGCACGCTCATAGGCTGTACGGGGCACGCGCGTCGCACGTACTCGCACGCACGTGTGGTAAATCCGCAGACCGCACGTAGAAAAAGTATTACATGCACTTAAGGCGTGTCTGCGTGCTCCCAAATCCGTAGGATTCCGTACGGAGGCGGTACTCACCACGCACGGATGCCGTACGTTTGCCCACGTTTTTGCACGTAGACAGCACGCAGAAGCACGTACGGCGAGTTGTGACCGTCGCTTACTTAAAGTAATTCGCGAGTTTTTTGTTACGATCGTGACACGTGCGAACAAAATAGGACACACGTCGAATGACGCCCCTACTACTAGTATTCTGTTGCAAGCTTTCGTGATTTCTGAGAGTTACACGACGAATGGAAAACTAGAAAAACAAGCTAGTAAGCGGTTTAATACATTTTACGGGAGCTTTCCGGGAACTCCTCGGTGATGGGAGTGTTGCCCGCCCGCCGAGACCTGATAGCACGATCGGTGGAATTTTTCCGGGGCGGTACGTTTTTGTAATTATGGTTGATCATGTTTAGATATCCAAGTAGAACATTGCGTACTACTAAATCAATCAGACAACTGAATTAAATCTTTTAAGAGCTAGTCTTCGGAGTTGTTTGTTTGATTGATTGATTGATTGATTGATTGATTTCTATTACGTTATATTACGCTACAGTTCGATAATTTTCTCAAAAAGAATTTTCATCGATACCCAAGCCTTCGTCTGCTTCTACTTTGTCAGCTCTTAGTTTGGGTATCATCTGCCCTAAGGGTAACGCCAAGTCAATAATAGCCTAATTCTAGGAAAGATAATGAGCTAAGAACCAACAAGAGCAATGGTCCGGTCTTTCCTGTTGTCAATTAGGCCATGTTGATTTGATTATATGGATGTCATCCACGCGCGGATGGATTTCGGCCGTTTAAAAAAAAATTTCAACCATACTGTAAATAGTACAAAACAGTTGTAAAATATACACCGTAAGTTGCCCAAAAATATTGGGAAACGATACCAATGTCGTAGAATGTCAAAATCAAACGATAAAGACGAAAATGTAAACAAATGAATCGGAAGAGGAGATTATTAGCCATACCAACCTTCATAACCACGTAGAGTTTATGATGAAATCAACTTTTTTTTTGCCAGAATTTTTTTTATTCGCACGCTTCAGTTTTGGGGTTCCCATATAATCAAATCATGGCTTTAGTGGGAAGACTCTTGTCAATGGTCTGAGGTGCTGAAACTCTTGTACAACTTATTTTTTTAAACCGTGTCGGGGGTAAATCTACGTTCTTGACATCAAAAACGGTAAGCTTGATCCAATCCCTAAGATACTCAGGCATAGATCTAAATAGGCACGGTTTTCGGGTACGATAGTCGCCCCCCTCCCCCTCTTCGGTGTAGCAGTATCGAACCACCTGTCATATCTAGTACGTCACATCTAACCTTTGCATCGGTATGTCTTCAATTTAGTGGGTTTCCTGTTTATCTAGGATCAGGCACATTGAGAAATTGATAATCTCCAAGCAGATCTTTTGGTGGGGGTAAGATAGTATCAAATTGGCCAGTCTGTATCCATTCTTTGGGGAAATGGATACAGACTGGCCAATTTGATACTGTCTTACCCCCACCAAAAGATCTGCTTGGAGATTAAAATTGATACTTTGTTGTAGTTCTTGAAAAAGACAAGTTGATAACCTCTACCCTTTCTGCAACTTTTATAAGCTTGTGAGGTGAGTGACAAGAACCTGTCGTGTAAGACCACGTGTAGATGAAAACAGTCTGCCTAGACTTGTTTAAAGATAACAACACGATCCGGCAGTCTTTATTATGGTAATGTAATCTGTAATTATAACATGCACTTTCATCTTCGGTACAGTTTGATTGGATTGCATTTTTCACTGAAGTTTTCTTGATTGTTCTTGCTTGAAAGCTGATGCAGTGAATATGTATGCTCACCCACGCATGTGTTTTGTAACATCTCGCTTTCTGTGTAGAGACCAGTTTGATTATGTTGCAATTTTCCCAGGTTTTTCTTGATAATTCTTGCTTGTGAGGTGATGTAGTGACTACGTATGCTCATCATACATTTGTTTTGGTAAAATATTACTTTTGTATGCTTTATATCTTTTGCGTCATCATTTTATGAAACCTACAGAAACCTCTTTCAATGCAATTTTGATTTTGTTACAATTTTCATTTTTTTTATTGATTAGTCTTGCTGTGGTCTGATGTAGTGGCTATTTATGCTCAGCTTACATTTGTTTTGGCAAAATATTCCTTAAAACGTGTTATCTTTCGCATCACCATTTCATGACACCTACAGAAACCTCTTTAGCAATGCAATGGAATATAACCAACATAGGGCATACTTAAATCAGTTGGTAAGGGAAAATACATGTACGGTTATTGTACTACCTTTTTTCTTAAAGCAACAATGAAGCAAAACTACATTTCATTGGAGCAACCTTTTCCTCTTGATGTTATCCTGATACACAATTCCAGACTCCATGTATTTTACATCAAAACGCAGAAACACGGTTACAACATCCCTTCTAAACGAATAAGTACATGGTTGCAGTTTTCAGTCATGTTTTCTTGATTAATCTTGCTAGTGAGAATATGCAGTAAATTAACGTAAATATACTGGTTTTGTCCATGTCACCAAAAACCTCCCCTGGTATAGGCTATAGCATTATAATATAAGGCGATGCAAACTACATGAAAGGTTCTTTTTCAATTACCAGTGTAGGATATTGAAAGGACTATGAAGAGGGTAATAATAAAGCACAACTAAACATCAAATCATTGGAACAACATTGTCCTCTTGATGGTCCATCCACATCAAAACTAATTATATATAAGAACTACTGTCAAATCATCTCTTGTAGACGAGTTTGATTTGATACCAGTTTTCATACATATTTTCTTGATTATTCTGTATTCTGGCTTGTGACCTTATACAGTAAATACACATATAAATATGCTGTTGGAATGCCTTGCTTTAAATTGTTTGCTTTCACGTCATCATTTTATGAAACATTCACTAAGGCAAACACTAGCCCCTGGCTATAACATTATAATATAATGGAGTGTTACAACATATGACAGTCAACCAACCAACCAATCAATCAATGGTCCACAGCTGGGAGTAAAAATACAGTCAAGCAGCTCTCAGTGAAAATATTTTCTTACAGCAACAGCAAAGCAAAACTTAACAGCGAATCATTGGAACAACATTGTCCTCTTGATGTTTTCGTAATAAACAAGTCCATCTACATCAAAACTGAGAAATAATGTTACATTCATCTCTTGTAGACGAGTTAGATTTGATTACATTTTTTGTATTTTGTCTTTTTATTTTTCTTTCTGACTGGTGAGTTAATGTAGTAAATGCACATGCTATTTGCAAACTTGCTATTTTTACATCATATTTTATAAGTATTGATAAACCAAAACTTATTTTCCACACAACATATCATCATGTATGTTATCATCATTTACTAGAGTCTCGGTGTCGCTGAGCTACGTAAATAAAGTGGTGCCACCTTCGAAATTATGTCTTAAAAAATTTAAATTGAAATCTGTTTTCTATACAGTAATCCTTCTCATTATCAGCACGATGCCATTGTTTGACTTCACTAAATGCTATTCTTTTCCTGGCGCAGACAACGATCGCAATGTTACATCTGAAAATGAATATTACAACTCTATATACACACTTCTAGTCACAAATATAAGATTTCTCCAGCGTTGAGTTCTTCAGAATAGGGGTCTTGGTCATTTTATGTTCTTCTGTATATGTCTGTCTTCGTCCTGTACCCCAATACGCTACTACTAAATCTACAATTTTACTACTAATCTATTCACTGCAGTACCACCCTACAACGTTTAACAGAAATTGTTGAAGGAATCGTGACTGCTTTCTAAAGTTACATCGAACTTTGACATGCATATGTCTAACATAGCGAGTACTTGTTGCTATTTTCTTGCAGAAAATATTCATTCATTGTAACACACAAGCTCCGTTTTGGTCTACAACAAAGGTCCATCCCCTATCTGGAACCTAAAAGTTGTCTGATGTTGTTTGAGACATAACTCGACGATTCTACGTTGACATGCATTGACTTACTCTCAAACCGTGGCTTTTTTTTGTTACTTCTTCAATGCAATATTGGGTTGAGTTTGAGTTCTCGTTACTTTGGTTTCTTGCAAGTGAATGGTTTATCATTGCCGCAGTTTCGGTCATTCCATTGTCCTTTGTACCTCCTTGAAGTAAAAGGCCAGTAATCAGTTCCCTCCTGTAGACAACATTATGACCAATGAAAGAATAATCAAAAGGAAATTGTCAGTACTGAAATTAAGCAACAGACGTAACTTTATAATATATACATCATCGGTGTCTGTTCTATATGATCCATGACATTATGTGTCGTTTTCATATGGTTCTGTCTTAAAGTTGTCATTTCTTTCTTAGAAGTAGTCAACACTCGAAAAACCACCTGTATGATTATGCAGGTTAGTGTAGGTAAAGTGGAGCTGTGCAGGTAAGTCTGGTGCCTTCCTGTTCCTATCCTCTCATGGGCTATGTGCTGGGTTTATATATACATGTAGGTGAATGTGGATTTGCTGCATTGCCTGTTAACCGCCCATAAGGCCATGTTGATTTGATTATATAGATGACATCCGCGCGCGCATGAATTTTCGTCCGTTTCCAAAAAGACGTGTTCAATTTGACCACACTCTAAATCATACAAAGTAGCCGCAAAATGAGGAAATGTATGCCGTAAATTGAAATATTGGAAAATGATATGTCGCAAAATGCCAAAATCCATTCCAAATGACAAAAAATAATGTGAAGGAATGAAAATGAAGAGTCTAATATGCAAATAAAATATTACTCTGTGTTTAGTCATTTGTTCAACCTTCATGATCACCTAGATTTCATAATGAAGACAAAGTTTTTGCCAAACTTTTGCAATGCTCGCTTCAGCTTTGGGGTTCCCAGAGGATGTCATACATATAATCAAATCAACATAGCCTAAAGTATAAAAGAAATAATGGCAATGGCTTCTGGACAGCTTTAGTATAACTATAATCCATAATTCCTGAATTCTGAGTGTTTCAGGCAAATTGTCTGAACCACATACAGTGCGTGCATGCGGAAAAAGCATTTCGGGACCTGGTAAGTTACTTTTTGTAGCCTTAGACAAGTTCAGGAGTACTGGTTGAAACAGCACACTTTCCTTCTTGAGGGCTCCAAAGATAAACAAAAGAGCAGGAACACGTACGTTTTTGTAGATAACGACGCATTTTTCTCCCCCCATAAGCCAGTGATTGTCAGGCTGACCCTTAGCCCAGTTCCTGTAAGGAAATGCTGACCCGTCCGTCCACTTCTTGTGTTGTAGTCCTATCCAGACCATATCATCAGATGCACCTGCAAATAAAATGAGGCGTCTTTTAAGCCAAAGATAGCTCATTTTGTTTGTTTGCATACAAACAAAACATTTTATCAAAACGTAACAAACTCCTTTTGTACTCATTACCTCCGGGGAAGGAGATGTTTCCTTCCGCAGAAGGTTCTGTTTCTGTTCGTGTTTGTGTGTTGGCAGCTGTAACGGTGGGTTGGACGGATTTCTTGCGTTCTCGGTATATGATTAGCTCTTGGGATTCAGATTACATTTCTTGTAGCGTCACACTGAACATTGCTATTAGTGTGACATCAGCAGTCGTTGTGATAGTTTCATACTTCCTGGAGGTTTTGATCTCTGATTTATTGTTGTTGTAAAAGTACCTCTCTTAAAGACAAAACTTGCTAGGGATATGAACCCAGAATATGACTTGTTCATTTTTCGTCAATGACTGCAAGGCCGCTATTGCATCCAGAATCGTACCTAATATGGATGAATGAATGAATGAATTTTTTTTCTGTAAAACATTGCAGCCGTCTGGCTGAAATACGTTTTGCTTACATAAATTAAATACATTCTGGATGAAACAGCTACGATGAATTACAGTACCATTACACCATCCTTCCAAGTTCGGACCCAAACATTCAAATCTTCACCCAAAATAATACTTTCGTCTCGGAAGTGATGAAGTTAGATTGGATGTCCATCCTGTGGAAATGTAGCCAAAGAGTTGCACAATACTCACGAGATATGATACTTGCAATGAAGCTGTTCTCCTGGCCGTCCCTGATAGAAGCGAGATTCGCACCCATTCCTTTGCACCTTTGGTTCGCTGTACTGAAGCTGACTTCCTCGTTCACCAGCTTGTAGCAGTGGTTGTTGTGTTCACTCCACCCATGCTGACAGCGCCGGGCTACAACAGAAGAGGCGATGGTTAATGTATGTCTCAAAGTTTACGGTTTGCCGGAGACTCTCTTAGAAACAGCAAGGAAATCGTCTCCACTGTTGTACTATGGTCCCCAGAACATGGGAGAAGGACGCCTGGAGGACCGCCCCTAACCTACTCAGATGTGTTGCAAATAAAGGGACACCGGTCTTCAGCTGTCATGGCATGGGGAAGGCTATGCAGGACAGGAGCTACTGGGCAGCCATGGACTGATGAGAAGAAAAGGACTGGCACCTGACATAAGTCAAGTAAGTCATATCAAAGTTGTCTAGATGGGAGTTCTGTTGAAGATGGATTCTTTGAAGTCAAATACCCCTCCACACTAGAAGCGAAATGAGCCGGAACAGCGTTCGAAACATTTTGATCAGATAGGAGTAGATCTGAATATTCGGAGTACACCCGGAATTTTCAGAATGCGCTTCGAATAGCCGGGAATTTACTATAAATAGACTAAAGAAATTCATTTAGACAGCATTCCTGTTAAAGAATAAAGAGGCTATAAAGGGTAAAAAAAGAGTCTCTTTCGATGTGGATGTGTCCAAGGTTTATCCGAAAAAAAACGAGATCGACTTGGATAGATCATCTATGGTTTAGACGTTAATGCTTGTAAATTTGTGACAAGCAACTATAACCCATGGGCCAAACACGACTGCAAAACATCCTTTTTCTGTACTAGCCTATAAACAAATATGTTTAGATGATCACATATATCACATGGGATTTATACATTTCTCCTGCCTCCTACTTATAACTAATGCGCTAGTGTATGTGGCTTCAAGCACATATAAAAGTATCAGAAAATTCTACCTACCATCAGTACCTTCTGTGGTCTGGAAACAAACAACTCACTCTACTGGCCCATGGAAGACGTACTGATATTGTGCTTGATTACAAAAATTGGATTTATATTCAATTACAAGAAACAAATATCATTTTTAAGAAGAATGAGCTACACGCTTTGCTATTATATAACTCACCTTGCTGACAGTTCTGTCCAGTCCATCCAGGTGAGCAGGTACATTTGTATCCGCCCTCTTGGTTTTGACAGCGGCCATGGTTGCATGCCGACAGGATTTTCACGCACTCGTTGATGTCTGTGTTATACAAAAATGCAATGCATTAATACATCAAAGAAAAGAAAAAGGAAAAAGGAAGGAAGGATAAAGAATGATAGGAAAATTCATGTACATAAAAATTGAATGATATCTACAGAAAAATCACTCACCTTCCTGACAGTTGTGTCCAGTCCATCCGGGTGAGCAGGTACACATGTATCCGAGATTTCGGTTTACACAGCGACCATGTTGACATGGGTTTCTTGCACACTTATCTATCTCTGATTGTTTGATAATGGAAAAAATTATATCACTAAACGAAGTTTATTGGTTACTTAAAGCATGATTTTAAACAAAAGGTTCATGATTTGGAAGCAAAAAAATAAAATAAGACATTTTAAAAACTTCAACAAGGGACTCACGCTGAAGACAGTTCTGTCCAGTCCAACCAGGTGAGCAGATACATTTGTATCCGCCATGCTTGTTCACACAGGTTCCATGTAGGCATCGATGTGCAGGCCTCATGGTACACTCATTGATGTCTGTGTGAAAATAAAGAAAACAGATATCATAACAAAAAGAAAAGTACTAAACTTTGTAACATCACCATCCTTCTGTCACAAAAATATAATGATCGATCGGATGGTCTAACAAAAGCGCTTGCATAACATATATCCACAAACTTAACTTTTTCCAAGTTTCATGTCAAACGATGATTTGGAAATAAGATCAGAGAGAGAAAATTCCCCCAAGCCAGTATTTTAGTAAATGTGTAATGTAACTTAGCTGTACGTATTTTAAATCCTATGTCATTTATGTACTTGTGTCCTCTTCTGAAAGACTAGCTATCACTGAGTCATAGGTAGAGAGATAATCATAAATGAGGGGTGATTGAACATTGGGCAAAGCAAGAAAAGAACTCACCTTGCTGGCAGTTCTGTCCAGTCCATCCATGTGAGCAGCTGCATTTGTATCCGCCATCTTTGTTCACACAGGTTCCATGTAGGCATCGATGTGCAGGCCTCATGGTACACTCATTGATGTCTGTGCAAAAATAAAGAAAACAGATATCATAACAAGAAGAAAAGTACTAAACTTTGTAACATCACCATCCTCCTGTAGATTACAAAAATGTTATGATCGGATGGTCTAACAAAAGCGCTTGCATAACATCTAGACATAAACTTAACGTTTTCTAAGTTTCATGTCAAACAAATGATTTGGAAAGAAGATCAGAGAGAGAAAATTCCCGCAAGACGTGATTGAACATTGGGCAAAGCAAGAAAAGACCTCACCTTGCTGGCAGTTCTGTCCAGTCCATCCATGTGAGCAGCTGCATTTGTATCCGCCATCTTTGTTCACACAGGTTCCATGTAGGCATGGTTTGCTGACACACTCATTTATGTCTGTGTAATGAAAACCACAAACTCTTAGTGCAACAATGGAAATTTGATTTTAAACTATACTAAATTCAATCCACGTTTTGAATCAATTGCTCAACAATTAATTTAACAGGGGAATGCTAGACAAGCACTGAGAACCCTCTTCTCTTTGGAAGTTCAGTATAGATACAAAGAAAGAAAAGATGGAAAACTTTTCTTTTGACTACGAGGGAAGACAGCAAAAGATCAGCTCACCTTGCTGACAGTTCTTTCCAGTCCATCCAGGTGAGCAGCTGCATTTGTATCCGCCATCTTTGTTCACACAGGTTCCATGTAGGCATGGTTTCCTGACACACTCATTTATGTCTGTGTAATGAAAACCACAAACTCTTAGTGCAACAATGGAAGTTTAATTTTAAACTATACTAAATTCAATCCACATTTTGAATCAATTGCTCAACAATCAATTTAACAGGGGAATGCTAGACAAGCACTGAGTACCCTCTTCTCTTTGGAAGTTCAGTAAAGATACAAAGAAAGAAAAGAATATATGGAAAACTTTTCTTTTTGACTACGAGGGAAGACAGCAAAAGATCAGCTCACCTTGGTGACAGTTCTGTCCAGTCCATCCAGGTGAGCAGATACACATGTATCCGCCATCTTTGTTCACACAGTGTCCATGTTGACAGGGATTTTCGGTACACTCATCTATGTCTGTGTGATAAAGAAAAGAAAATGTACCTATTATAAATCGATTAATGTTTAACCGGTGAACAACACCTATATGTTGGGAAGAAAGACCTTACATTTGTAATAAAAAAAGGTTGAAAAATAACAAAGAATTAAAAATCACTACATAGACATCAAACGAATCTTACCTCGCTGACAGTTCTGTCCAGTCCATCCAGGTGAGCAGGTACATTTGTATCCGCCATATTTGTTCACACAACGTCCATGTTGACAGGGATTTTTGGTACACTCATCTATGTCTGTGTGATAAAAAAAGAAAATGTACCTATTATAAAGCGATTAATGTTCCTGGCACACTCATTTATGTCTGTGAAAATGGAAAATAAATTGTCAATAAATGAAGTTTATCGAATTATGAATTTTGCAACTAGAAGTGTTATGAATGTGTCATTTCTTTGAATTTAAGCTTAGTGATTAAAACGTTAATCACCTTGCTGACAGTTCTGTCCAGTCCATCCAGATGAGCAGGTACATTTGTATCCGCCATCTTTGTTCACACATGTTCCGTGTAGACATGGTTTGCTGGCACACTCGTTTATATCTGTAGGATTTGAAACATTTATGAAGACGCACACTGTGACCAAATTTGGTAAGACATAAACTCAGCCATGCATGTTTAACGCTAGCTTCAATTCATCCTCTGCAAACCGATATGGAAATCTCTCAGGAAATAAATGGCAGGTTTTGAAGAAAACACAAATGGCTTTGTCATTATATAAGACACTGGGGAAATACGTTTATAAACTGGCAATAAGATACCTTGCTGACAGTTCTGTCCAGTCCATCCAGGAGAGCAGGTACATTTGTATCCGCAATCTTTGTTCACACAGGTTCCATGTAGGCATGGCCGTGGTTTGCTGGCACACTCATCTATGTCTGTGTGATATCAGAAAAAGAATAGTAGCTAAAGCCCCTTGATAACTCCCCCCGATCACCAATCAACCAAGTTTGGCAGGCGTTTGGAAGCGGACTGACCAGATTTATGTAACACCTACCCTTTTAAATGAATAATTCGAATTTGAGTTGAATTTGAGTCGAATTTGAATATGAAACACCTGCCATAGCCTAACCTCCCAACCAGATGCGAATGTATGAAATATTTTGAAACATACGGCTTGCGCAGCCGAACTGTAGCCTACCTCACCTAACACCAGCCAACCACAGCCGACCTTGCTTCCGATCTACTCCTAGCCACCGTTTAAGGGAGTTCGGCAATGTTTGGGAGGCCATAGTTGGCCATGTGTGACAGGAGCTTAATGCAGGTAATTATGAACTCAAACATCAACAGTTTCATTACTAGCAGCAGCGGCAAACTAATTTCTAGTGCCTGCCTTAACTGAAGTGACCACGAAACAATGTACGTACCCTGCTGACAGTTGAGTCCAGTCCATCCAGGGGCACAGGTGAGTTTGGGGTCACCCTCTGTATGAGAGCAGCGCCCGTGCTGGCATGGTTCACTGGTGGATTCAGTCAGGTCTGTGCGAAAGTCAAGGACTTTTTAAAAACACTCATCACTGAACATCTGAATTGATAAATCACTCATCACACTGAACATCTGAATTGATCAATCCTATCATAAAAGGTGACACAGAATTACCACGTATGTTAAAAATAAGTATTCTAGCATCATCTGCAGTCCTGACAACGGACCAATAATGCCGAAGTGTGGACGACTGTGTGCCTCAAGGTTAGGACTCAGAAGCCACATCGGGTCAACCCCAAAGCCCCGTGAACGAGGACGCTAACGCCTCGACTACGAAGGACTACAAAGATGAAGAATTACGGATAAAAAAGATCTGCTTTTTATTAGGACTAGAATGTTCGTTCACACGTATGGGTCACGCGCTGACAGGGCTCCTGATCATTTCTTTGTGTTGAGAGGAAGGACCAAAAAATTGTTTGGATCTCACAGATTCTGCAGACTATGATTCAGTTTATGAATTAAGAGCTTCATGTGTGTCATCATTGTAGTCACTGTTTGTCTGACAATAGGAAAATACAATATAGCGGCTTTCTGTCACGAAGCTCGTCTTATTTTTCAGGGCCATATTTTTGTCCTTCTACATTTTGTATGTCTATTCAGGAGGATTATGCAAGTGAAAATTGCATACATTCATTTCATTACTGCTGGTTAGATCAGAAGATTTTGGTCCCGCCATATTAAATCACACACGTCAACTCACTGGTCACACCGTCGTGACAACAGTCGTGTTTGGCGCAGAATCAGGGGGTCCTGAATTAAAACTCTTGGCGGGCCCCGGTGTTGTGTCCTTGGAAAATTCGTGATGAATTTACAAGGATTTACAGAAAGATAGATCGGGGATTATTGTATCCAGAAGTGTGACAATTTACGTCTATGCCTGAATGGGTTGTGGCTTGGTTCTGGATGGTCTCAGCGTATCTAAGAACAAAGATTTGGCCCAGGCACGGATCTGGATGCGCGTGGACTTTCCAGAACCGCGCCTGACCATAGTTCTGGATAAAGCACGGCTTTGGATACAACAGGCCCCTCCCGAATAGCCTTCGTACCCCTAGGCCTTCTTCTTGTGATGGGTCAGCTAACCCTCACTCTCATTGAGTCGAGCCTGTCTCACTTATTCGTGATGTTTCTGACTTGGGAGGAAATGATGTTTCAATACTTCAACTCGTATTAAACATCAAAGTGTCCTTTTATGAACACGAGTAAGAAGACAAAAACAATGCGTACCTGCGACCGACAGGTAGACGACGGTTGTGGGCAAAGTCTCGAAGTCGAAACTGGCGTTTGCCCAGTTTGTTGTTTCCTGTAGCTCCGATGGGAGTGACGTGAAGGTTCCGATAGTCGAACCATTCCCCATGTAGGATGCCATCGAGACCCCCTGATCCTTTCAAGTAGCATTATTAATGACAAATTTCACATCATGGCTATGAGATCAAAATTGTTTGTTCCAATACACCTTGCCTATTTTCAATTGATTTATGTTGATGATTTTTATTTGATTGTGATCTAGCTTAAATCTATCTTCAGAGAGAGATTACAATAGTCTAGTGTATACATTACAAAAGGTTTGAATATAAAATAAAACCGAGTTTTGATAATTTCAGTGATAGAGATTTAACAGAGAAAGCAGTCTTCTAAAACATCATGTTACTGTCCCCCATGCAGACCTAGTTTTGAAATTTGATTACTTGTGCCGCAGCGCAGATAAAGCTCATTTTTGACCAAAAATAAGGGGAGAAGCGAAATGCTTAATCTAGAAATCAATAATCAAATATTGTGTATCGCATTTCAAAGTTGATATGCATTACTAGCTCTAGATTCACTAAGATATCGCTTTGTCGTGAAGGTTTTATCATTTCTGTTATCATTTTATTTCTGTTTTTTGTTCCAGTCTTGAACCAGCTGCATTTTGATTGCTAGTGCTTCTGTACCAATTCATTTTTAAATAGTAAACATTTATCATGGTGCCATTTCAATTTTACACTGAAAACAAATAGATGAACTGAGAAAAAAGGCTCACCGCCATTCCAGGAAGGAACTGATAGAGGAGGATCGTCGCTGTTACAGCTGACGTCACAAGCAGGAGTCCGCAGACAAGGCAACCCCAAAACACGCCGCTGAGCTTAACACTGTTCCACATCTCCACAACACTCTCTGAAATATCATACCACAGAATAGCTGAAAGGCCCATGATATCCTCAACAAGGAATCATCAAACCACGTTGTCGACATGTCATATTTGCTACTGTGTACAGGATGTTGCTGGTACCACTTCCACCAGCGGCGGACTGAACAGGCTTGGCCATGTGCTGAAAATAACTAAAAAGATTCCTCCTCTAATCGGATATCTATGTCCATTTGGGTAGCCAGGCAGTGTTGAGGACAAGCGCCAACGGTGTTTAAGATGCTGACGATGGGTGGCAGTACAAGAGCAACTAGACCATGCATTGCGAACAGATACATTGATACAGAAAATAGTATCTAGTACAATGGGTACCAACAGCAGCAGCAGAAGAAAGGCCGGGTGACCAAGCTGACGCCCGATCAACCGCACAATATCGCCCAGTACCTTTTGAAAATTTCATCCTCCACTAGACCTTGCTAAAGGGGGTTAGAATGATAGAATTTGGCAAAACTGGGGCTGACTGACCAGGGGAGTGGGTGCAGCGATGAGTGGTCATACATGCGCGGACAAATGACTTCGACAAGAGGGGTCGTGTGGCGTAGAGGCAGAGCGCTCGACTCGAAACCAAGAGGTCCCGGGTTCGAGTCCTGACATGCCACCGATGTTGTGCCCTTGGAAAAGGCACTTTACACGACTTTTCTCACTTCGCTCAGGTGAAAATAAGTATTGTATTGTTCCCTGTGTTGGTGGCGGCATGAATATAAGTTGAAAAACCTTGAGTGTGCCGTCACCACGTCTTGTGATTACATGTTGGAATATATATATATAATGACCTCTACGGTGGTAAACTCTCCTGGCCAACTATGCTCCCTATTTGGCTAGGTTTTAGTATATAATTTCAAACTCGCTTTATTAGTCTGATGGAGACTACTAAGCTTAAATTGACGTACCTCTAGCCTTGTAAGCACAGCTAACTTCCTCGGGATCGTTGTATCCGTAAACATCCTCAGCCTTGTCGTACATGTAAACATCCTCCGGTTTGTTGTATCCGTAAACGTCTTCAGGCTTGTCGTAGGTATGCTCGGAGTCGGAGCACATCACCACATGGTCAACCGTACGGTACAGATGAGTGCAGTCCTCGCCGCTCTTCTGTTTTGGGGTCGAGGTGGGTTTGAGATCGGAGTACTTTGGGGCCCTCGTGGAGTTGAGGCCTGTCTGTTCTGCCGAGGCTTTAAAAGGGATGTGGTGGCTGTAAGAGGCATCTTCATGGCCACTGCCTGTATCCTCTATGGATTCTTTACTAGGGATGTGGTGGGAGTAAGTGGCATCATCATGGCTGCAGACTGTATCTTCTCTGGAGGCTGTAGCATGGGCTTGGTCACGGGCGGATGTACCGGCGGTCTCTTCTGTGGTGATTGTTGGATCGAGGACACCGCCTGTCGCTTCTGTAAATGTTGGGTTGCCGTGGTTACCAGGAGCGGTGGGATGGGTACCGCCCTTGTCGTCTGTGGGGTGAGAGTCGTAGCCAGAATTACCGGTGACTTCTGTGGTGCCGGCGGGATGAGTTTGGTTCCCAGAAGCGGCCCCATCGGGGGTACCGCCGCCTGCCTCTTCCGTAGAGGCGGGAGAAACATTCCCTCCGGACGGGTTCTCCGACGGAGCTGCGTAGATCACCGCCATCTTTGTTTTTCTAGGAACGAAACGAAACGTGATTGTTAGAAATCATAAAAAAGATTCATACCATCGTAGTAAGGGGACTGGGATGTATTGGATGGTAGTCTCCACTAGACCTCGAAAAGGCCGTTTAAACCGCGAGAAATGGCCAAAAGTAGGTAAATACTAGAGAATTGCCCTACCCTATCTCTTCATCGGCCAAATATTCATTCTACTTTGCGATTTTCACTGTTGTACTTTAAGCAATATGATATGAGAGGTA